TCCCGCCAGTGTTGTTCTCTGCATTTTTTGTCTGCTGCGGCGAGCTTCGACGGTACAGCACGAACCCGCAACCGAAATTCACTTCTGTGTCTCTTCGTGTGAGCTCTGTGTCGCCAGCCCTGCCCATGCTAGAGCTTTCGTCCCGCCCGTGGCTCTCAAGTATTTGGGCTATTGCTCAGGCGGCACTTTTGGATGGCTCTAATTCGGCTGCTAGCCCTGTCTTGGCTTGGCAGGCAGGTTGCGCACGCATGTTAGCGTCTGATTATCTGATTCGCTCGACAGGGCCAGGGCCGATGAGGATGAGAAGTTGGACACCGCGGAGGCCTGTCAAGTCACGGTCCCAAACGGTTCCCAAACGGTTGTTTTCGAAGAGGCCGTTCTTTTTATCTTGTGCCCTGTGCAGTCCTGCTGGGTGGAAGACCCTTTGGGCAGCAAAAGCAATTGGGCAAAGCACTGCTGCAGGACTGCAGGGGGGGAGAGACTATCACTCGTCGCCTCTGTGCTGCTGTGTGCCGTTTTGGGAGGCCGAAGCCTTGCGGCCAAAGTGAGTGCTGGGTCCCGCCGATGTACACCTACGAGTCCAGGCCTGAGCGGAGCCGGCGAGCGAGCCAAGCAGTAAAGGATTGCACTTAAGTGAGCCAGAGCCAGCTACTGCGAGTTGGCGGGAGTGAGGGTACCAAATGAGGGCACCAAATGAGGGCACCTGGTGAGGGCACCTGGTGAGGCACCTGGTGCGGGAATTTTAAGTGACGAAAGCTGAGCGGGATGTCTTGGAGGTGATGATTTGTTTTGCTATGTTTGACGACTCACAGCAGGATCGCATCCAACATTGGCAGGAAGGTTCCTGATCCTCGTCACTGTCATGCTTCAAAAGTTTGCATGTCAAGGGCGTCCGCTGTCATCTAGCAATTCCTCGTTGCTCATTCGTGGCATCCGTGAGTGTTCCCATGTTGTTTCGAGCAGAATGGATTCTCATCCAGAAGTGTTCGGAGTTAGTTCGAAGGCTTGCAGGCTCAGCGAGACACTCGCAAAGCTGAAGTCTCGTTTGAGCCCATCGTACCGTTCGTAGAGTCGTAGAGCCTCCTCTGACACCTGGGGATCGCTCCTGAGGTTCTGCTGCCGCAGCCCGAGAGCCCGAGCATGTGACCATGGACGGGCAAGTGATGGTGTGGGGTAGGAAGCAGAGACCATGTCGTTCTGTCCTATAACAAGGTGATGAGGATGCCTGCCGGAATCTTGCCGTGGAGGAGGCCGGACTTGAGAGAAACGCTTGGAAGGTGTTGTGCTGCATTACAACTCAACATCGGGCACGCCGCGCGAACACTTCTGCTTGACTCTGATCAAACATGCCTAAATAAGGACAGCATTCGGATGGACATCTCATGAAGGCTGATGATCCAGAATGAAAGCATACGTCCCCAAGGCTATCTAAGGCCTGCAAGCAGCAGCCTAGAGGAGCTCCTTCAGACATACACAAGATGCCGGAGCTTGCCGGCACGTTCAGGTGAAGCGTGCTCTGGATCTGGCAGTCGAGGCCCCGCACAAGCTGGACAATCAAAGCCCAATCAGAGCAGCTCTTCCTCTTTTCCTGACTGCTTCGGCCTTCGCAGCCAGTCTTTGCCCAACGAGAACGCGTCGTTGCTGGCCTTCCGAGCTGCGCCGCAGGCTGCGAGCATGATGAAACTAAGATCGGTGGCAGGGGTTGCAGTCCGATGCAGTCCCGACGGGGACGGACCCGGAGGCATTCAGAAAGATGCGGGGGCTCCAAGCGGAGCTTTCCACTGCCGACCAGGTCCGGCCATGTTAACGAGCTAACTTAGTCGTAGTTGACTGCGAGTTCAGGAGGTCTGTGGTACGTGTATCTTCTGCTTCCCAAGCACGGGGCCAAACGTGTTCTTCCTGAGCATTCGGAGTGCAAAGGGCGGCGCAGAGCTTGTCTCCAGGGTGCGCAATCAGAAACCATCGAACCGATACTTCGGTTTGTCCCCCGTTTTGGTGGATTGTGAAAGATCGTGCATCCTTTACCAGAAGGCGTCTGTGCGCATTTTGCCGATCTGCTTGCTGGCATTCTGCAGTCAACTCAGGAACCAAACCGGCGCTGCGAAAACAAGACCAAGAATACGACCAAGGGGAGGTTGTGTGTGTCCCCAAGAAGAGGGGCAGGAACAGGAATCAAGAACAAGAATGCATCTGCTCTCCACTTGATCTGGAGTGGAACAGTACTGGCTGAATGGGATTTTGCCCGGTGTCGATCCCTCGATTGTCGGAATTGAGGCGCAAGTGTCGTGAACAAAAGGGATGGCTTTCAATTAAAGAGAGAGCAATACGGTACACATATTGGATCGTTCTGTTTGCTTTTTGGTCTTTCTGTGAACGCCGTAACCCTCGCTCGCTCTCTCTCTCTCTCTCTCTCTCTCTCTTTTTGCTTTGTCTCTGTCTCTGTGTCCCTGTAGCTCTTCCACACGCGAGGCATGTACCTGCGGCATTGCCTTCGCAGTTGCAACGCTGCTCTGGTATCCTGAGGACCTGCGTGCGCACATCAAAAGGATCACAATTGAGGTGCCCTTTGGAGGTGCCCTTAAACCTTACATGTGGGACCCTTACGTTTCTGTGCCTTGTTGGCACTGCAGCTGTCATAGCTCCTACCTGTAGTTTTTCAGAGCTGAGCCTCACTTCGAAGACCCAATAGACGTATGCCATCGTATACCCTGCCACTGCTTCTTTCAGCCTCAAAGCTGGAAGAGGACAGCGCAGCTTTGGAATTGGCGATCAAGCCAAGGCATCTCTGGAACATCCGGGCGTACCAGGGTTGCAGTACCTTTCAAAAAAGGTCGACATGTTCGACCGCTAGACTAGCCGCTTGACGTGATCTGGACACCGTCTCTCGAAAATCATCGCCCCTCCGGGCTGGATAGTCGTCAGGTGTTCCTCCTTTACTCTGCTAGATGTATCCACGATACGAGACTGTTCTGTCCCAGAATTTCAAGTGACAGAGTTTGGAGAAACACTTCGGACTTCCGAAGAGGCACTGCATTGATTCGCAGGTGGTTCCTGGAGGGTGTGGATTGGGGTCGCTTCGTGGAAGAGGGCTGGAGCAGCATCTTCAAGCACGCGACTCAGCACCTGAAGCAACGACGGCTTGAATCCAGCACCATCCTGCCCGAGACTATACATGTCCCTCCGGGAGGTGGCTGGACCGCTTCCCACATGTTGAAGGCCAGGTTCGCTTTGGGGAGGGCCTGCTGCAGTGTGGCGCGTTTCCGTGACTCTTGGACTCCTGGGTGACAGGGGCAAAAAGGATTGAGAATGCTCGGCTGGGTCGCTGAACTTTCGTGCAACTGATACTTTTTCCGTTATCAGCATTATCTGCGATTGCACATGCCAACAGCATCAGCATCAAGGATACCTAGGTCAACGAAAGCATAATGTGAATGTGCTGATTGCACTGGTCCACCCCGGACCCGGCCCGTCATCCACTGACGAATGCTCATCCTTTCACACTCCTGCTCCCTATTCTTGACCCGTGCCGGTGTTCTTGCAGCAGGCAAAGGGTGTGTGCCACCAAACACTTCCAGTCAGGTGCTGACCGCATCCGTTTATCAGGTTTCGAAAACCTCAACTCCTCAACCACAACCTGGCCATGACCCTGCAGACGTCCTGTGGATGACCCACTCCTGGCCTTTTCTGGACAAATCTGGAAATAGAGGCAGGCACGCGAACTGAGTCGTCACGCTGCACCTTGCGTCTGACAATTGTCATGGCGGCTGACACCTTGCACACAGCAGAGCTAGCTTGCAAAACAATCATGCCTGCGAAGTGCTGCCCAGAACACGTTTGGGCACCTGTGTTTGACCTCACACTTGGCAGGCAGAACACATGCACACCCCCGGACCCAGGCACCCACGTATCAGGGCGCGGGGAAGGATAGAGACGCACATCGGCAGTATCCTTTCTTGGGAGGTTTGAACTCAAGGTGTGTATAGATCTTGTGCCGCTCGAGCCATCCAAAGAAACCCACTGGGGAGAGAGAGTCACTGCCTCGGCAACTTGCAGGCGACTTTCGAGATTTCTTGTGGCCTCTGTAAACTCCATGTCATCCCACAGCCGCAGTGTCCACCTGCTCGCAGGCAAAGCGGCCGAGAATGTTGTGCATTCTTTGCATGAGGCCTTGTATCGCGTTGTCACAAGTGGGACAGCTCTGGACACTGGCCCTGGCGAGCATGTTAACTTCCTTCTGCGTTGTCAGGAATTCGAAGACCTTGCCGAGCGCCGGCAATCACTTCTCAAAGTCGTCAGGCATGAGCAAGAGGAGGTGACTCTGCTTTTGCTCTTGGTCAGAAGATGTTGCATATGAAAGCTTGTCGTTCAACGGACCGCAACCTCATTGTACTGGTTTGCGCTCATGGCAGGCTCGTCGTATATGGGAGAGGGAGTCCAAGACTTCTGGCTGGCGGCCGAAATTTTCGAAAATGCTGCGTTTTTGTGCGGAGTGTCCATTGCGCTTGCTGAGGTGACCTATCAATCTCGGACGTGATTCGCGAGCTCCGGGAGCGAGGCGTGTTCCAGCGCGAGCGACTCTCAGTAGCTCGCATGAGCATTCCTCGTGAAGTGAGACGCCAAACCTGGTCTCAGGTTTGGCGTCACGTCATGGTGGACCTGGCCTGGCGCCAAAAGGTTCACCACCCGGTGCGACGCTCAAGTAAGCAGGTTGTCTTTCGTACCCCGTGGTCAGGGCCAGAAGTGCGCGGTTGGGCAAGGGACGGAGGGTGAGGGAAGGCCGCCCTTGCAGGTAAATCCAGAGCATGAAGCATGGTACTTAGTTTGTTGTGATGGGTCTCCGCGGGTGCTGCGGCAGGTGGCTGGCTTGTGAGCCCTGGGAATATCACCTGACCGCCAACTTCTCCTCGGTGTCAGAACGAGACGGCCCAGGCCCCCTGGGACCGAGCTTCTGCCCGCTTGGGTTCGCGCGATTTGCCCTCAGCTGGCCCAGGAGGCCTGGGCAAGTCGAACGTCGCAGTTTGCGCAAGCTCCCAAGGAGCCAAAAAAAGCGACGCAGAATTTTCCTGCACTGACACATTCTGACAACCACGTCGGCTCAGGTCTTGGGAGCTCCCCGCACGGTGGTGAAGACCTACGAAAGCATTCGCGAGAAGGCTGCAACCAGAGTGCAACCTGTGCACGCGTTCCCAACTGCCTTCCGTCCCTCTGAGGTCGTTGAAACTCTGAAGGGGGATGCGTTCATCTATGCCGCCCTGAGAAAATTATTGGGGCAGGGTCTCGGCCTCCTTGCTTCCCTTGCTTCCTGTTTCGCTGTTTCCAGCCAGGTGCCGTTCTCTGGCACTTTCACTCCTGCGTTGGAGGAACTCTGCGGAAGCGACTCTGCACACCAGCTTTTGGAACAAGTTTCTCAGGAACTGCCAAGTGACATGAGATGCCGTGACGGTGAGCCTGTTTCCAGGAGGACCTCAGGGCCCTGGGCCCTGCAGCAAGGGTCTCGGCCGGCGAGCGGCTTCTCCTCTACGCGTTGCCCCGGCATTGCCTGTCAGGTCACTGCCATCGTTGTTCCAGACGTTGACCGCCGCACCTTCGAGGCCGTCGTAACGCGACTCAGCCAGCTGGCCTGAGGTAGACCCTTTGACCAATATGATTCTGACAGGAGCGGACTCAGAGAGAATTCTACGATCCCAGGTTGTGGATGTGTGGCACTTAGATATGACGCCATTCCAGCATTGGGTTGGTTGGGATCGCGTGCTGGTGTCAGGCTCTATTCAAAGGCGAATGGGCCTTGGAGGGCCCCGATGTTCCGCCAAATGGGCAGCAGCATGTCCGGCCCTTAGGCAATCTTAGGCTGTAGTAAGAGATGCAGGGGGTGCAGGACGGCAAGGCCTGAGGTGCAACTGGCAGCTGTGAACACCCGCGGCCGGGGCCGAACAGACTTTGCACAACTTGACGATCTTATTTCGACAAACCGGTAGTTTTTTTTTGTACTGTGCAGCATTTCCCCTCCGGCTTCCCTGAGGTGGGGGTATCACAACCAACATTGCTGCCGGAGGCCTGTGAGATTTGCAATGTCTCTCATTTTGCCCAGATATGCTTCAGATATAGACTTCAGGATGGTGGAGTCCTTCGAGAGGCTAGGCTGCATCTCAGGCAATCGTCGCAGCTGCAATAGCGATACATTCGTTTTTTTGAAGGCTCGCTATATCTCGCTATCACATGCCCTGGCAGCCGGGCAAACCTGGACTTCTTTAGTTGGAAAGCCGGGGGCCGCTCACACAAGGCCAACATGACCGCTCTCGCAAAGCAAGGGCCTCTGTCCTTTTTCCAGAGCCCGCGTGACGCGAAGACGAGGATTGGGAGCTCAAGCACTTGCGGTGGATGAATGTCATGATGTGACGACGAAGGACTCGCCGAGGTTGAACCTCAGTGCTGAGCGTCCCCGGACCGGTGGTTCTGGCTTCGTCCCCAATCCCATCATGCCTCTGTCAGTATGCGAGGCTGTTCCGGCTCCAGGCCGGCCGCTGTGAATATGGGCGGTTCTGTTTTTGGTTGGGACTGCCCTTCTCCCCATGTTGAGGTTTTAACAGACACGGCGCTGTAGAGACGCCGCTTGAACCGCCATTTCTGCATCTGTTGGCATTTTTGAGACGACAGGTTCAGGATAGCCAAGACCCCTTGTGCAAGTTAAACAACCACAGCAAAACACTTGTAAGGAGTTGACCAGTTGCATCGCAACTTCAGTCGGACATGCAGAGACGGATCTTTTTCGTTGCGTCCTGCAGTGCTACGGTCTGATGGCAGCAATGAACGAGCAGCAAGTTTCCACACTGCGCTTCAGCCGATCAGCCGATCAGTCGATCGGCTGATCGGCTGGTCGGGTAGTGTTGTGGTCGGGTTTGGGGTTTAGGGGTTTCGGGCTTAGGGGTTTAGAGTTTGGGGTTTAGGTTTAGGTTTAGGGTTTTAGGGGTTTAGGGTTTAGGGTTTACTAGGGGTTTAGAGCTCAGGGTTTAGGGTTGAGGGGTTTGGGGGTAAAGGGTTTAGGGTTGATTGGCTGGTCGGCTGATCGGCTGGTCGGGTGGTCTTGTGGTCGGGTTTAGGGTTTAGGGGTTTAGGGTTTAGGGGTTCAGAGTTTAGGGTTTAGCGGTTTAGGGTTTTGGGGTTTAGCTTTAGGGGTTTAGAGTTTAGGGTTTGGGGGTCTAGGGTTGAGCGTTTAGGGGTTTAGGGTTTAGGGGTTTAGGGTTTAGGGTTTAGGGTTGATTGGCTGATCGGCTGATCGGCTGGTCGGGTGGTCGGGTTTAGGGGTTTAGGGTTTAGGGTTTAGTAATCGATTAGGGGGGGTTTAAGGTTTAGGGGTTTTGTTTAGGGCTGATCGGCTGATTGGCTGATTCGCACGGTTTTGGCAACACGTTGATTTCTGTTCTAGCCTAGGCAGCAGAGAGGTTGGGAATATGAGTGGGTCGTCGGCGCCCCAGCCATCAGCCCCCGAAGCATGAAATCCTGAGCCTCTTATGCGATGCCTATGTAAGGTCTTTGCGAGGGCAGAGATGGTCTGGGTGCATTATCATCCACCGATCGAGGCTCAAACTGCAGCAACACCCCTGCGTCGCGTTTGTCTGGGGACGGGGCAGAAGGTCCTCAGCCCGAACTACGTGTACATACCGATGGGCCAGGCGTGGCCCATATTTCTTTTTTTTTCGCAGGTCCAAATGCTCCACAAGTTCATTTTCGGAAGGACAACAGCTTCTACAACTTCAATGACTTGAAAGGCATTAATGCTCGGTTCTCGGTCACTGTTCGTGCGATCCAACCGTGACGTCGCTTCTGTGAAGACCAAGGACAGGCATGCCGCGGTGCCTAAGCGTTGGTTCAAATCCTATTTCAACCGCTGGGAAGCCCCCGGCTCGAGTTTCGTATTGCATGCTTGTGAACTGCCTTGGGGAGCATTCGTTGACGCAATGAGCTTCAACACCCAGTGCCTGCTCAACGGGAATGCCTGGAAATACTTGGCCAAAGTTGCCAAGGCAAGTTGCAGCATCTGAACCTGATTTTCGAGAGCATCTGAAACAGCGGAGACAGGCAGGCTACATGATCAACACGGAGCAGTACCTCTGGCTCCACCTGCAAGCCGAAGGAGTAGCACCCTCGGGGTTCACAGTCTCTTGTCGCTTCGACCTTCTCCGAGCCCCTGTTGCATGAAGGGGGGAACGCTTGCTTTCGTGGTGTAACGAGTCTGGCACAGCATGTGAGAGGCTCGCGGGATGCCTAGCCAACAAAAATCCACGAGTGCTTTTTCAGTTGGCAGTGCAATCACAGAAGCTCAACAAGCATAGCACAGGAAGGACAGACGACAGTTCAACTAATCACCACAACACCACAAATGTTGGGACGTGCGAGTCGGAGCTTGAATCGAACGGGCGCCGAGACCGAAACCCCAAGCTTTGATGCTGGAACAGTCATCCGAGACCTGCAGCCTAGGTGCAGGTTCGACGATTCGCACCGGTGTCCTTTCTGTCGCATTGCCGTGGTCTCAAGTGTGGTTTGCTACTCCGGCTTTGCGTCCAGCGCCTGCTCGTGCAAAAGCTGAAGAACACTTAGACTTGGACCTGCAATCGTGTCTAATGGTCCCCAATCCGGTGCCGCCTTGTCTGGGAACTCTCTTGGTTTCTTGCAACTTGGGCAGTCTCGATGTCCTGAGGCACCGAGGGTCCCCAGTGCCAGCATCTCTACAAGGGCACCGACCTGGGCAAGCGACCGGGTGCAATTTGGTGCGTGGTTTTCTAGAACTGAATCCTCCATGTACAAACCAAGGGTGCGATGGACCCAGACAGCAAAGTATTGGACCGAGATGCTGGAGTCGCGACGGACAATTGTGGATGCCACATCCTCTGACTTGATGCTTCAATCTGCGTAGTCTTTGGATTCAAACGGACCCTAAGACTTCAGGTGCCAGGACTTTTGTCTGCAGCGGGTCCAGCTTGTCGTTACCGTGACATCTGCGTCAACAGTCTTTCTTTCGCAGCGGCTTCAGCTGTTGTGACAAAAGCTTGTTTTGAACTGGGCAAAGCAGACAGCAAAATGCTCAGTCGAGAAGCAACTTCAAGCCCGGCTTTCGTCGCACCACAGCAGTCCTTTGATCTCGCATGGCTGCATGGAAATCGGGATGCCTGAAATTCGCTTCGACTGGCGATGACTGGCTCTTTCATTGAAAACCCATGCCAGGACTTCCATTATGTCAAGAGGCCAGAGAAAGGCTGGATTTGGCTCCGCCAGAGGCCGCCCGTTCCTTTGTCTGGTGCTCAGCTCAGCACCTTCCGAGTCGTATCGACCGTCCCATCATCTTTGTTTCTAGGATTTGGGGGGCCATCACCAAGAAGCAGTTCGAAAAACCGTTGGAGGAAAGCGCCATCGGGGAATCGCACACGATCTGACCGCAGTCTTGCTGCCGGCAGGATGTTGAACCGCAGGAGAAGGTCGGCGCCGACCTTGCGTTGCACTCTCAGCCAAGCGCCTCGCAGATAATTTGCACCTCTCAGTTTGGATCAAGGTGCGGCCTGTCGAAGCACGGTCCAATCTCAAGCTCCCTGGCCTGGTCACATCGGTTCCTGCTGATGCTCCAATATATGCCATGCTTTTGGACATGTTGCTTTGAGTTGCTCCGTGACGAGGTCTGCGTTGGGTGTTTTTCCTACGCTGTGAGTGCCACGCATAGACTGAGACCATCTGTACAGCTCGGCCTGCGGAGAAAGACCTGCGTCGGAGCATACATGCAGCCAGAGCTCTTGTCGGTCTATGTTGTCAAGCATTGCGCAGAGAACCGAGCGTTGCTATCGCATTTTTTCCAGTCTCAGCCCCGGGTTTTGGGAGACCGGGTGCCAAATGGCAAATCCCAGCTGCTTGGCGAGATTTGCAAATGTTCGCGCAATTGATGCGTCATGGCAGGTTCGGATGAATCCATCCATCCATCCATCCATCCCTCCGTCCGTCCGTCCATCCATCCATCCATCCATGCATGCATGCATGCCTGCACACATACACACGCACACACACACACACACATATATATATATATGTATATATATACACACACATGCACACACACACATACATATATATATATAGATAGACATACACACATACACACACAGACACACACACACACACATATACACATATACACATATACACACAGACACACACACACACATATACACATATACACATATACACATATACACATATACACATATACACATACGCATATGCCTACGCACACATTGTCACATGTACATGTACACTTGCACCTACGCCTGCACCTACACGCACACATGCACATACACACACACACAGAGGCATACACAGCGACACGCCGACACACAGACACACAAAACAGACATACATGCACACATACGCACATGCACACATGCATACATGCACACGTACACACGTACACCCGAACATACAGACATACAGAAATACGGAAACACAGACGGACAGGTAGACCGGCAGACAGACAGACAGACAGGCCGGCAGACAGAGACAGAGACAGAGACAGAGACAGAGACAGAGACAGGGACAGGGACAGGGACAGGGAAAGGGACAGAGGGACGGAGAGACAGAGACACAAAGAGACAGAGAGTGACAGAAAGACACAGAGAGACAGGGAGACTGGGATACAGGGAGCAGGGAGACAGGGAGATAGGGAGACAGGGAGACAGAGAGCGAGAGAGACAGACATACAGAGAGAAAGACAGAGAGACACAGCGAGACAGAGAGAGAGACAGACACAGACAGAGAGAGAGAGAGAGACTGAGAGAAAGCGAGAGAGACCATGTTTGGCTCAAGCCGTGAGCGGTTCAAGGTCCGAGCCCCGAGAGTAAACAGGACCTCAACCAAGGGGCGTTCGAGAGGAGAGTCCTTGCCTCTCTGCTTAGGGAAAGCCATCGAGCACGAGGGAGGGAACGGCACTTTACGCGACTTCATCACCCCGTTGACAGCAATCGTGGAGACGATGCACTCGCCCCCATTGATGTCTCATGGATGGACGACCTTGCACTCCTTCTCACAGCCGGCTCCACTGCTGAGCTTGTCGAGGCAGTTCGTGGTACTGAATGCCTCCGAGCCATGCTGCACCTGGCAAGACCGAAGCGAGTTGGGCGCGACTCGCACCTTTTGCGTTCCTCGGATCCCAGTCTTCTTGTTCCGTCTATTATGTGGCCCGAGGTACGAGTTCGACTTGTTCCTTCATACAAGCACCTTGGGGGGATTCTGTCTTGGACTGGGTCGCTTGCCCCCGAGCTCAAGGTCCGTTGTGCACAGGCGTGGCAAGCCTTCCGCAAGCATCACCCCCAACACTCGCTGCCACTGCGGGGGAAAAATTGGCCAGAGCGATTCGGGACAAGCGGGAGCGCCGCCGCACCGTGCATGTCGGTGCCCCACGTGTCCGGCTACCTCCGAGGGGGAGTTGCCCAGAGGCAGGCTCAACGCAAAAGTTTTGAGGATTTCTGCAGAGCTCGACGTCCTCGCGGGTTGCAGAGGCTGCCTTTATGGGGGACGATGACAACACCGCACCGGGACCAAAGGAAAAACCAAGACTGCATCCAGCCGGGGGTCGGGCTTGAAGACCTCCCCTCCGGCGTCGGTGACCTCTGCAAAATCGCTGACTTCTGAGTGTGCCTGTGAGGGCGACTAAACCTCCGGAAGCCGTAGACCACCAACTCGTAGGGAGGTTCACACTTAGTACTCCCTTGTTCTGTGATCGCTCTGAGCATCTCCGAAGGGATGCCTCAAAATTGGGGGACACCCGGCACTTTTGGACCCCCAAAACAGGGGACCCGCAAACACTAAGGTACTGACTTTTCTCAAGTGGCTGGAACGAGAACGTGATTGCTTCTATGCCTTTGTTATGTACTAGTGTCGGTGTTCCTCTTGAACAGACACACTCGATACTCCGTTCAGGCAAATCGGTATGCTCTCGTTTTTTTCTGGAGCAACGGAACGGAACATCGGGAGCCTTGCTTTCTCACACCGAGCCGGGGGAAATGCACAAAGCTGGAACCTTGGGGAGACAAGCAACTCGGCTGCGTGCATGCTCGTGGAAAGGGAGTACTCATGGGTACTTTCCTCCTCCGTAGCCGCAAGCAGGCAAGCAAGAGAGAGGGAACGAGAGAGCCGTAGCCATTGTGGCTCAAGCCTTGACACACGGACACAGGGACACACACAGACACACTGAGACACAGAGACAGGGACGCACGGACCCACAGACGCACAGCACAGACGCACAGACAGACACACTGACGCACTGACACGCAGACACACTGACACACAGACACACAGACACACCGACACACCGACACACGGACACACCGACACACTGACACACCGACATACGCAGACACACACACACACACAGACACACACAGACACACACAGACAGGCACACTGACACACTGACACACACACACACAAACACACGGACACAGACTCGCAGACACGCAGACGCACGGGCACACGGACACACAGACACACAGACACACGGACACACAGACTCGCAGACACGCAGACACACGAACACACTGGCACAGAGACACACAGACACACGGACTGGACCGGACCAGACAAGACCAGAAAAGCAGAGAGACAGAGAGTACTGTACACACACACAGAGAAACATACACCTCAACTTTGAACCTGCCGCTGTTTCGTCGGTTTCGTAGCATTCCTGCCAGGATAGAGGTCTCCCTCACTAGTGACTCGGTGCCAATCGCAGAAATGGCGAGGCAACCCCATGCGCATTTCCAAGAGCAAGTCTAACATGCCCATGCATAGGCATAGCTTGCCATGTCTCCCAATATGTGCAGGTGGCACAGACTGCTCTTCAGTCTGATTCTTCGATGCAGTGCGGTCTCTGCCTTACCCTTTCGATGATACTGTTGTCATTCTGGATCGAAAGCTTCTTCCCGTTTGTTGTACCGTTTGTTGTAGGACTTCAGCAGCTCCGCGGCAAATCAGCAGACAATATTTTTTGTGCGGTGCCTACTTGCTCCTGCAGTGTCAGCATACGGCAGGCAGGTGGAACGATTTGAATGTGATCTCTGCCTGGAAGAAGATGGTATTGCAATAGATGGCTGTGGCATGAGCTCTTGTTTAGAGCAGGCCTAGTAGCAACTACCGTTTGTGTCGTATCTCTGGCCCTAGCCGACTGCCGTGATGCTGGTCATTGGCATTGTGCTTTCTGCTTAGGGCCAGCAGGGCCAGCAGGGCCAGCAGGGCCAGCAGGGACTGCAAACAGTGCATTTTGTGCCGGGCTCAGAAAGCATCAGCAGTGCTTTGCTGTGCTCTGAAAACATCGCAGCTGTGCCTTCGCTCCTGCAATGCCAGCATACGGCAGGTGGAGCAATATGAATGAAATCTCTGCCTGGAAGAAGATGGTATTGTAATAGATGGCTGCTTGAGCTCTTGCTTAGTGCAGGCCTACTAGCAACCACTAGTACCGTTTGGGTCGATGCTGGCCATTCGCATTGTGTTTTCTGCTTAGGGCCAGCAGGGCCAGCAGGGACTGCATTTTGTGCCGGGCTCAGAAAGCATCAGCAGTGCTTTGCTGTGCTCTGAAAACATCGCAGCTGTGCCTTCTGCCAGGGCCAGCCCCCGGGCCAGGCTCCGCCCAGCTTCGACGGTGGCTCTGCTCCTTTGGGCCTTCCTGGTGCAGGCTGGACCAGGAGCTCAGGGACAGGATCCGCTGCAGCCGCCTGGTGGCTCCTATTCTTGGGGGCCGGTGACTGAAGGAAGCCGCACATGCGTCATGCGTGTTGATGGCGCACAGACGAGGCCCAAGAAGCCCTACTATCACTGGGCTCGGGCCTCACGACCTGAAGCTTGAAGATTCGCGAGGGCAAGCAAGTCTCAATCCATCGCACCATATCAGGGGCAGCAAGGCCAACAGAGCCAGACCCAAAGTCCAACAGTAAATGTGCGACACTCAGGTTGAAGTTTGAGGCCATTTCCCATAGGTCCCTTGCTGCGAGGTGGTCCACCACCCCCTGCTTCCCAACCCGCCGGCGCCACCGCCGACCACAGCACCTTTCGTTGCAGGCAGGCTGTGGTTTGGAGCAGAAGGGGAAGCAAATGCGGTCGCTGTTGCTGACTTCATGCCAACCTCAAGCTTCATTGTCCTGGAATGCCACCGACTACACCCAACGGGCCCAACGGGGCTTTCACGAGATGTCAGCTACCTGATTACCCGGCTTAGCCAGCTGTGCTCCCCGCGAAATCATCAGTCATAGCGTGGTCGAAAGCCAGGCCCTCCGTCTACAATCCCGGCAACTACACCAATGCCCAGCGTTCCGCTTCAATCGACTTCACCGGGTCCGCTGCCAGCGGGCAGAGAGCAGCGTGCTCGGGAAATTGGGGACGTCGAGAGTTTTGTCAGTGTGGAGGCTCAGACATGTATTTGATGAGGGAAGTCAAATGGATGGAGGGCATCCATACGACCCCTCAGCCTCAGGCCTGTTGACCAATCCTTGCACATTCCCGCGGCTCAGCTCATCCATGTCGTCTTATCATCCTTTCTAGTAGCTGCCATAGCAATATTGCAGTAAACGAAAACGTTTCACTACAGATCGTTGTGGGCTGAGCCGAGGGTCTTGTTTGACTGTTCGTCTGCATCTGCTGCACTCTGCTGGCTCCATTCCTGGGTTCTGCTGTCACGGAGCGATGCCAGGACGATCTTGAACTTGAGCAGCCTCCCGTCCCGCAGTTTACAGCACCGTTCCCGGATTCAGGGGATCAAGGGTGTGGCCACGAACTCGGACGAGGTTTGTTGTTTGTCAATCCTTGCGTGAACAAGGTGGACAGCTTCCTGCCGAAGGATACCCCGCTGGCGGGCTGCCACGGCTTCGAGGCGTCGCTTGGGTCCAGATCCTCGCCGCAAAGCGTCAAAGTCAGCAGCAGCACCTTCGGAGCTGAGAGCAGGAGCATTGGGCCCTGTGTACGCCGACGGCTCGAATGGATGTTGTGGAGGGGAGCGGGCGGAGTTTATTGCCTTTTTTCAGCATCACTTGCACCTTTCGTGTTTGGGCTTGCGACATGACTTGAGTCCCTAAGCCGCGCATGTTGGATGAGATTTGTAGCTCAGGGAGACGCCGTGCAGCGACTTGGCTCAGCGCATAGATTGTGCTTGGGGGGCCAGAGCCTTAGCCACAAAGTGAATTGGAGGCCACGGGCTTTCAGTCCCCACAGCGGCCCGAACAGCCTAACTCCAGGCGTGGGGGCAGTGGGAGTCCTTCGGAGGCCGGGAGGGTTGGAAAGGTCTGTGGCCAAGTGGACGAGCTGAGAGAAGAGTGGCAGCAACAGGTGCCATGTACACCTGTCTAAAGAACCATTGAATAGAGAGAGAGCCGATAGAATCCATACACAGATCGAAAGCATCAACGGGTTTTGGGATGCTCCTCGGTGTCGGCCTTTGGCTGGGCTTGGTGGGTAAATCGAGCACAAGTAGTCTTGCTTCTTCCGAATATTGTCAGCTTGAGGGTTACAACAATGGGATTTTTGGGTTTTCTCTAGAGTCTAGGCCACCTGTCCATTGGGCCTTCAACGGGGCATCCAAACTGACATCGTCACCGGTGTAAGCGACCGCTTGCGTTGCTTCTGATCGGGCTTAGCGGCCAGCCTGTAAGCCTGTAATGCCACACTTTGAAGAGTTCTTAAATCCCAAACAAGAAGCCTGTATTCCGTAGCCTTTTCCTCCACTTTGCTAGCATTTGTTCGCCGCAGGGTACAAAGAATACTGCGGGTTAGACACGGAGTCTACCGTGTTTCTCGAGTGCATCTCAAAAATAGGAAAATTCGTGATCACGGTCGGCTGAAAAGATTAGGCAAACTATGGGGCACTTTCTGGGAACACTCCGGTATTCAGGGCGCAGCCGCACAGCCTGGTGGCCTGCTCGGCAGGTTGTTCTGGTCTTGGTCTACGCAGCCGCAAGATCTTCAGGCCTGTGGAGAAGCAAAGTGACGTCGATAGATGGACATCAAGGTTTTTCAGAAGGCTGTAGGTGGCAACGGACGTCAGAGACCGAAGGAGGGAGAGAGAAGCCTTTGATGGGGGTGGAGCACGCGAGCTTCTCTGCCTCCAGCCATGAAGAACAAGAAGCGCCTTTGAATCGGACCCCAAAGTCCCTTTTCACCATGAACTCCGGAATGGGGTGGAGAGATGTGGACAGTGGTTAACACCAGGGTCCACAGAGGAGGCTATGTTTTTGTCTCTAGGCAGGAAGGATGTTAGCGTAAGGGGGCGCCGCAGAAACTAAAGATGCTCGTGCTGAGCGACCCGCTAGTCTGTGTGGGCAATAATCCGATCGGCTAAAGTGCAGGGTTGTGTAGGCTCTGAAGGACAAGACAGGAATGTAGACACAGAGAAGTTCGTTTGCAGACTTTTGGGGATTGGTGCTGCAGGTAGTTTGGAAGCGGGCCGCATCAGGTAGACAAACTCCCAGTCCCAACTAATCCTTATCTCTGTGTTTGTCGGTGTGTGTGTGTGTGTATGTGTATATATGTATGTGTATATGTGTGTGTGTGTATATATATATATGAGAGTTGTTCTAAAACCCCGGCTCTTTCCCGTAGACTAACAGCGCACTTTAATATTTGGATTCAGGTTTGGGACCTAGTAAAATCACGACACCGCGCAAGCGCGCGCAAGGGCGAGCGCAAGTTCAGCGCAAGGGGAACTACTACCTACTACTAGTATCACTACTACTAGCAGGAATCCTAGTATCATTAGCAGTACTACTACCTGTATTAAGCACAGATCCGAAAACAGCCAGAATCAGTTTTACACAGGGTTCAGCGCGCAAGCCGCGCGCAAGGGCGGCTCAAGGGGAGCCCTCCAACTTCGACCAATGCCCCATTCCTCTTGCGTGACAGTTGTTTGAAAACCCACCCAAGTTCCCTGCACGAAATCTTCAAACCGGATTCTGGACTTGCTATTTTCCGGCTGGTCTATCAAGCCTACAAGGTGGGAATGTGTTTAAAACCCTCTACGCGCAAGAGCGCACAAGGGCGAAGCGCAAGGCGATTTTCGAGTTACAGGCTGCAACCATAATAAAGAACAACCCCCATATATATGAATATATATATATATATATATACATACTTTTGTGTGTGTGTGTGTGTGTTTGTGGCTGTCTGCTTTTCCATCTAGCTACCTGTGACAATCTGTGCACAAGCCATCAGCAGCCATGCTGCGAGGATGAACAGTGAAGGTGGGGCACCTTGCAGCGGTGTCAAGGCGCAGCAGCAAGCTTCCAGATAGAAGTTTTGAACCGTGCTTGAGAGTGTTAGTGATTTCGGTTCCTTGTCGGAGTGGCAGCCAAGGGTTGTTGCAGAGCTGTTCAATAGCATCTGCAGGAAGAGACAATGCAGATGGACAAGTACTTTGACAGTGATTGTCTGATGGGCAATCGGGCGGGGCCCTCACGTGTCAAATGAGACTGTCGTGTTTCGTTAACATGCCCGACCGAACTGACGAAGTCTGACATGCAATAGGTGAATGCATATATCATGGAAGGTCTTCTCACCGTAATCTGTGATGCCGTATTCTAAGACAGCACGATGCAAGGACTGCGAATGGTCGCCATGGACAGATTGGAGCCACTGTGGCTGCGACGTTTGTGGTGAGGATGGGTCGGGGAAGAGAGCGCAGGTGACAAGAAAACCAGTCTTGCTTGCCGTCTCTCCCACAGGATCGCAAAGCACAAACGGTAAGGGTGCGTCACATCGCGAATCAGGCCGACAGAGGAGGGTTGCACAAGCCAGTTATGTTGAGCGGTCCGCATCCAATCCTGTCCCTGTGAAGATTGGACTGCGTAAGCGCCCATGCAGAGATGTGAACAGAAGCTTCATAAGGTAATTTGAAGTCAACAACGCGAGTGAAGCCAAATTTGTGAGAGTGGGTTCTGCTACATTCGTTGCTAGCCGATGTCAGGCCTTGGGTACCGGCAAGGCCTGTGCCGGAAAGTTCAACATGCTTGCACCCCAGACAGTCAAGGGATGGGTGTCGCTGGTCCCTATTGGCCCTATTGCCTTGGTTAAGTTTGCATGGTGCTTCCAGCAAGATGGAAAATGCGAAAAATCAACTACAGTCTAAGTTTCTTGAACGAATCAGCTGGCCCAGGACAAAGACGTGTGGCTTCGAGATGCCCGTACAATGTTCGTGCCTTCCCCAAGCTGTAACATCAGTCTTGTGCTCGCGGCTGCGGCAGGATGCACTTCGGAGTAAGCATAACATCTTTCCTTTGTCTGAAATTTCGTCAATCTTCCATATCTGGTCTGATTTGACACTAGTCTGTGCTTCTTTCGGATGAACTGCATCTATGTGGGCAAGATTGAGGTTGAGTGAATGGGGCCAGTGGTGGCCGCCTCGGCAGAGATCGCAGAAATCAGTGACGTCTGCCGTGTTCTCCCTTTGGAGGCAAGTGTGTCGGTGCATCCCAAGGACGCGCTGTAGTGCGACCTGCGGTGGTGGGGTCCGTGCCAGCTTGCCAAGAGCTGAGCCGTCTACGCAGGAACACGTGGAAATACATTCAGAATGCAGCGTCGATTTTGCTCGGACCTTTAAAAACAGTGAGGTTTGTTTATCTAGGGGTTTATGAAGTATGAAGCTGGGGCATGGAGAGTGATGCTGCCTGATGATGTGGGTCAGGATGGCTGCTTCCTGGACTGTGATGCAAGAGTTGCTTTCCCGCCAAAGAAAATTCTTTTGCAAAAGGCTTTTTCGGAATGCCCAGGCGTCGTGTCGAGAAGGAAGCCGACTATGGCGGGCTGCCCTGCGTGGCTTCCTTGAGGCCTTGGCAACCATCTTTTCATTGTAGCTGCGCTGCCGAGTGCCTGCAGGAAGACGGAGACTTGCAACACGCACCCTTGCGAGCGCAGCCAAGACTGTGTCGTCTCTGAGTGGGGCGCTGAGGAGGTCAAGTGACGTGGAACAACTATATATTTCATCCTTGCCTGGGTCAGGTGGGGTCGGTGGCATGGCTGTGAGGTGGAAGGCCTCTTGCTGTCCAATGCTCTTTCGCTTCTCAGAAGCCGAACTCCCAAGTTCGAATGCCAAGCCAAGATCGGTTCAGCTACGATTCCAGGCGCCAAGCAGATGACAAGACAGAGACGCATCGAGACCTATGCCGAGGCGTGACTTTGCGGTTTCAGCTGGTGCTTTGCAGACATTTGACAAAGCATATGCAGCCACAGGGCGATGGAGAGCCTTGCGATGCGCCCCTCACGGAAACTGCTGGCTGTGACGACCGTGACACGCTCCAGTGGCACCTCGATTGTCATTCTGCGAGCCTCATGGGCAGAGTACAGTTACCCTCAGACTCCCTTGCCTGATTCGGAGTGAAACACCATGACAACAAGAGCGGAGAACGAGCGGAGAAGGGGTGTTCTCGTGAATCGATGCTTCGGCCTTGGAAGCCCAAGGTGCTCAACCACCGAGTGGAGCCAGTGGACAGCGTGCCCGGTTGCCTGCGGTGGTGGCCAGCAGCAGCGAGCAGGGTTCTCAACATCTCTGCAGAGATTTTTCCACTTTATCCTCAAGCCTGTGGAACCTACTCAGTCGCGACACCTCAGCGGCGAGTCGTCATGCATTCCGCCAAGAGCCCGGAGACTGCGGATTCCGGGCATCGGATGCCTTCTTGAATGCAAGCGAGGATGGCCAAGCAGGACCTCAAGGAAGTGCGGGGGTGCAACGTCGAGTCCTGCGAGGAGAACGAGGGTCGGAGCCTCCACTTGGAGCAGGACAACTTGTTTTCCAAAGAACCGAGCTCAGGCTGCATCTTGTCGCCGTGGACGCATTGGGGTCAATGCTCTCAAGACTGTGGCACTGGAGCCGGAGTCCTAAGCAAGTGATTAGTGGAAGAGGAAGTTCGGCAACCCTCATGCTGAGTGCAGAGGGAGCAGCTTCGATTCCAGAGACGGTTCTGCAAGTATTCCGTTTGGCATGACACGTGTGTCGAGAACAGTGTGGATTCGCCTAGTCATGACATGCGGCGAAAACATGCAGGATCATGCTTCAGGGCTCACGTCCGTGATTCAGTGCAGAGGTTTCTTGGTGGATGAGCCTCACATTCGGCATCATTCTGCAATCTGTGTGTCCGTAAAGTCCAGTATAAAGCCAAGCTGAGGTGTCGACAAGAAGCCGATCCATTGATCAGAGTGCTGGCGATGGAGGTCCACGGCATCCAACATTGGGGCCTTTTTTTGGTAAACTTCGCTGTTGAACGACCTTGAACACTGGCAATCGGTTCGTATATATGGGTCGAGAAGAAGCTCAGCTATTCAGGGAAGTGGCATGCCAAAGTGCGTTGAAAGGTGCCAGCAGACGTCAAAGTCATCATGCGAAAGAGCAGATTGACGGATGGTTCAGACCCAGGTGAAATCCTGTTGCACCTAGGCTTCAGGCGTCTTAATGTTTGGTGGAGATTAGTGCAAGGCCCAAAATGGCCAAGTGTCGTATTCAACGCAGGCAAACTGGTGCAAACTCATTGTGGCAGGCAAGAGCTGTCACGCCTCGCTCAAGGAGATGCAGGAGTGCGTCTTGGAGTCCAGACTCCCAGACGTGGCTTTGAAGCCTCCTTCGACTTGCTGTGCCGTGCACTGGTCTTTCCTGAGGCCCTGCCCTGTGCGTGACTGCGTCTGGCATGCTTGGGATTCCTGGAGCGTATCAGCCCCAGGATTATGCAGTGGGCATGATTCGCACAATGTCCCAAGTTTGGGAAGCTCGACCTTTGTGCGTTCAAAAAGCATTTTGCCGCTATGTGCAGATTCCAAATCCTAATGGTCCTAATGATTGTGTAGGCATCTAGGTCTATCCTGTCGCTCTCCGAATAAGCACTTCAATCTGGGCGGTAACACCTTGGGGTTTCATACCCAAGTTGTACAGACTCCAATCATTCTTGGACCGAGGGCTGCTCCTGCACCTGTGGAGGGGGTCTCAAGCGCAGAGCTCGCAACATTAAGGCGCATCGGGGAGCCAAGAGAAGCGCAGGGGTTGTGCTCTTGTGTTGGTCCGAATGTCGGAGGTGGCCCCACGAGCCGGAGGAACGCCTTGCGATCCCTCAGACAAGACGCAGGCTTGGATGCCATTTTGAGGCTCTGAAGCTTCCAGGCAATGTCATCTCTCCAGACTGTATTCTAGATTCTAGACTCCCAGATCTTGCCCTTGCCTGTCCCCGACCTGGTCTGCAGCCGGCCTGGGGATTTGACGCTTCGGCAATAATCCACAGAGCATGTGTTGCTGTGAACCCCGCATTTTTGCAGGTTGCTGCCTGCAACACACAGTCCTGCGAAGATTGCGTTGATGGCCGGTGGCCACCGACTCGGGCGTCGGGGTTACTGAAAGCACATGCCTGCGATAGTTCAGAAATTTGTGTGCTGTGCAAGGACAATTTGGAGTTTGTGGTCGGAGTGTGCCGAGCTTAGCTATTTGCTTGCACGCTTGAGTCAGAGTTTCCAGCTGAACAGCCGATGGTGCACGCGCTCGAAAAAGAGGCACTGCCTCCTGCGCACCCGGCTACAGATGGAGGCCCGCAGCGAAATTCTGCTCCGCTGCCGCTGCCTTTTGAGTCTTGATCATCCTCGACAGGCATCGAAGCATTGCGAGACGGAATAACGATTGTGGACAGCCTGTGACTGGCTTGGAGGCCAGCTGTTAAGCTAGTGGCAGAGTGTAACTCATCATGACAATGTGGTTGGGCCTCGAGCCCTTCACAACATCCCATCTTCAATCCTTCCACCACCTGTGGCCGCTTGTCGTGCTGCTGTAGCTTGCCCTTCGCCAGCTCTTGCCTGCAGGAAGACTATCAGATGTGTGAAGATCTACCCATCTGCGTGCAGGTGCAGGGTACAGCTTGGCATGCTTACCAAGCTTGGATAGCAAGTCGAACAATATGGGACCATTCCGGACAGGATGAAGACTGCAAAGTGTCTGATTGGACATCGCCTGGGTCTCAAACCTGTCTTTTGCCATGCTTTAGGCATGACATCAATCTTCGAACTTCGATTTTATTGAATCCGGCAGACCTGGCACCCTCAGGTGGAATGACTGCAGCTGTTCTTGCTACGGCGTGACGGAGACCGCCTTGGAATTTGTGGAGTCACTGCAAGCTAGGGCATGCGCAGCCAGAGTGCCCAACGGGTCAGTTTGTGTTGTTCTTTGACAAGGAACTGCATTTAAATTAAGGGGCTCCGTTTGGTGCTGGGCTGGAGCTACACTCCGTTTGCCATGAGTGGCCAGGAGCGACATCGACGCGTGCTCCAGCTTGGCACAGGGGCCGGAAAGAAGTGCGAGGCTTCTGGGAGCATAGTGGGGATGCTACTGCTGATGCTCCAGCATCAACGACGAGTGCCTTCTCGTTTCTGTGGTTCAGGGGAAGAGCCTGAAAGAGATTGCACCGTGCAACCCTTCAGAAGACGAGGCCCCGTCTGCTTTCGAAGCCCCTCCAAGTTCCGAGTATTGTTCTCCAACGACTGCCAGCGCGCCTCCCCCTTCTCCCCTCATCCTTCTGCCATCGACGAACAGGCCACCACCACCCACGACCGCCACGATCGCCACGATCGCCACGATCGCCACGGCCACCACGACCACCACGACCACCACGGCCACCACGACCACCACGACCACCACGACCACCACGACCACCACGCACCTGCGACGACCACGACGAGCACGACGACCACGACGACCACGACGACCACGACGACCACGACGACCACGACGACCACGACGACCACGACGGCCAGGACGGCCAGGACGGCCAGGACGGCCAGGACGGCGAGGACGGCGAGGACGACGACGAGGGCCACGAGACGACCACGACGACGACGACGCCGACGATGACGACGACGACGAGGGCCACGAGACGACCACGACGACGACGACGCCGACGATGACGACGACGCCGACGGCGACGACGACCATCACGACGGTGACGGTGGTGGTGGCGGCGACATGCGACCATGGCGGCGGCGACTATACCGACCGAGGACCAGTACCGACAGCACTGACACCACTGACACCACTACCACTGCCACCAACCACATCAACCACCGCTGCCACCGCCACCATTGCTACCACCACGACCACCACGACCACCACGACCACAACGACCACCACGACCACCACCACCATCACGACCACCACGACCACCACGACGACCGACCACCGCCACAACCGCCACAACCGCCACTACCACCCCACCACCACCACCGCCGCCGCCGCCGCCACCACCACCACCACCACCACGACCACCACCGCCACCACCACCACGACGACGACGACGTACTACAGCTACAACAACACTACAACTTTAACTATTGCAGCCTGCAGCAAGTACAGCTACTAAGGCAACAACAACCACCACAACTACAACAACAACAACAACTACTACAACCACAACCACAACCACAACCACAACCACAACCACAACCACAACCACAACCACAACCACAACCACAACCACAACCACAACCACAACCACAACTACAACTACAACTACAACTACAACTACCACAACAACTACACTACAATAACAACAACAACAACAACTACTACTCCTCCTCCTCCTGCTGCTGCTGGCGGTGGTGATGCTGCTGCTGCTGCTGCTACTACTACTACTACCAATAATAATACTAGTCATAGTAATAGTAATAGTAATAGTAATACAGTAATAGTAATTGTAATAGTAATTGTAGTAGTAATAGTAATAGTAATAGTGGTAGTGGTGGTAATAGTAATAGTAATAGTAATAAGAATAAGAATAAGAATAAAACCACTACAGCTACGACAACGACTGCAGTTTACAGCTGCTATTTACGTCTATGATTTGCACACGGGAACTATAGCCGCTAGATGGCCCGTGCTCCGTCTCGTTTCCATGTCTCATGGCTTTGGCAGGCCCACCCTGCGGGCTGCCACAGTCAGGGTCCCGAGAATTGCACGCCTGAGCCTCGTCTCCAGTGCAGAGCAGCTTCCTTTTGGCACGTGGATGAGGCAGGACCTTGCCGCTTGGCATAGTGCACATACGGTAGTATCAGTGCCATGCATTAGAATTAGAACACTGAAGGTTGATCCGATTAAGTGGCTCCTGATTTCGTTACTTAGCGCCTCAAATGGCGGGGACATGATTCAGTCCTAGGTCTTTCACAGCCTTTTGTAAGATTTGTAAGGGTTGCACAGGGCGAGTCATCCTGCACTCACCCGCGTTCGAGGCTCAGCCACTGGGAGGATTGGGGTGTCTGCTCCAAGCCGTGTGGTGTTGGTCAGAGGACCTTGCTCGGCGCGACAAGCATCAGGTCTTGGGAGTTCTTCTAGTTTTCAGTGTGAGAACGATATGAGAAGATCAGGCCAGGAGGATTGCGAGCTTGCTTGCACTATGAAAAACTATGTGTTCAGATGCACATCAGCAATGTCCTGCATAGGACCCGCATGCGCCAAATTCTCCGGCCGCTGAACCACAATGGCGCTCCATGTGAAGGCGCAGCTTTGGCACCTTGCACGGTTGAGCACAGCAGAAGCAACACTGTCAACCTCCGAAACCTTGTCAGGAAAGCTTCTTCCGGGGACCGTGTGGAAGTCATACATACTGTTGCTATAGATGGGTCGAAGTCATGCAAGTGGATTAATGATACTTCTTTTTGAATCCAGAACGAGACGCTTCAGCATGGGGAGCGGCCCCAACCCCGCAACCCCACGTTGTGAGCTAAGAGGGAGAAGCCTTGAAGATTCAAAGACAGGGTTGCTTTATAGCTGCCGCATCTTCCCGCTGTCAATTTCAGGACCTGGTCCCTGCATGACAACAAGACAACAAAAAAGGCAGTCCTGGCAAGTAGACTTGCTCAGGCGCTTTGGCTCAGCAGCGGCCTTGATTGCTCTGAGTAGAAGTGCAGAAACATGATGAGATCCGTGCGTCATCAGCGTGTTGTAGCCAGGGTTTGGGGCACGGTGGAGAATGTCCAAAGCATCCTTTGGCTTGTCTTTCAGCGCTTCGGTTCGGGCTGGGGATCCAGCTCCGGCCGTTGGGTCTTGTTCGGAGTGAGGGTTCTGACTGGGCCGGTGGTCAGTCTGCTAATGTCTGCTACTTTGTCTAGTTTTACAGACGTGCCTGCAGTGACATTGTGAAGCCGTCGAGATTCTTGACACCTCACCCGGAGCAAATAACTGCTCTTTGCTTGTTTGTCAGTGACTGCTCGGCCACAATTGGATTCCAAGAGTTGCACCTTCCCAGTGCTTGCGGCTGCTGCGGGGCTGCATTCAATTTTCAACCAGTCTCTCAGTGATGCAGTGCTGCTCGTATGTGCTTTGCTCGATTGCCAAACGGACCTGCAGACGGAGCTAAGCTCTGTGGGTAGGGGAAGGGGTGGTCTGGCTGCCTGGCTTTGTGCATGGCCACCCCTAAACCGGAGATGCTTGCTGGACCGTTTAAGCCGCGGAATGTCTGTGCTCTACGATGCTTGGTGCTCACGCCGCTGAGGGTGGTGCCTTGCAATACACACCACTGCCCGGAGAACAACTGTATCGACTGCCAATGGGGCCAGGGCCTCTGCTTCTCAGAAGGGGCGTGACCTCAACATCTCTTTTGCTTGCAATCACAGGTGCGTGGTCTGAATGGGGCGACTGCTCAGAGTGCGGTGGGCAGAAGTACCGTGCAAGTCTCAGAGATCTCTGACGGCAACCTGACGAATAAGTCGTTGCAAAAGCCACGCTGTTAGCACTCAAGGCCAGCGCACCATCGAGCACCTCCAGCTTTTCCGCCACACTTGAGCAGCGAGCAGCTTGCGATTATAGTCAGTTTCGGGATTTTGCGGAATCTGAGTCTTCACGGACTTTTGAGAGCGGGCTGGGCAAGACGTCTGAAGCTGACATGGTTCACGACAGGAACGACTGCGGCCACAAGTGTGACCCGGGGGTTGCCAAGGAGACGTTTCCGCGGAGGGGCACAACAACTGAATGAGCACAACCCTTCATGCAAAAAGAGGCCTTCTTACAGGGAACTTGTCGCTCGAAGCGCAGGCCAGTTGATCGCAGAGCATCCAGAAGATACCTATGCAATCCTCTCGACAAATCGGCAGGGTCGAACTCTGTGGGAACATGCACAGTAGACACTTTCATTTATCCGAGCCTTCACATCTGTCCGGCGCAAGGTGTGCAGTTTTTTAGGTCTTGAGAGAGTGACTCTGGGCTCGGCTCAAGGCCATCGCGTCCCTTCTTGCCACAAGACTCTTCAAACCTTTGCAGGAGACCATGAACTGCACCGGGACCTGCGACTCCGAGGACTTTCCGAGACGCTGCGTCGTTGAGCTACGACTTGTCACCCAGAGCTGCGACCCTTCAAATCCCCGATTTGTCAGCGCTACTGGTAGCTAGTTGGTCTCTTTGGTGCGAAGAGTCAGAGAGCGGAGGAGAGCAGAGTGGGGGCGTTTTTTCTGATTTCTGGTGGAGAAGTCTCCCTTTGCAGTACTACTGCCGCTGGGCAGACTGGTCAGACCTTGGAGGCTTGGAGCCTTCGAACACTGGAGTTCTGTGGTTCTGGGAACTGAACCCACGACCTCTCCCAACCGAAGCCAGAATCGTGCCACTAGACCAAATAGCCAGCGACTGCCTCTTTCTGCCAACCCATGATGAATTACGAACTAGCTTGCTTGCGGCTGTGTGGCCTGTAAGCCATGCGCCAGATTGTACGGCCACCTGCGGAACTGCCGTGAAAATCTTGCAGAGACGGTGCGGCACCTATGCCTATACACTACGCTTGAGATGTGTTGTCTTTGCGCGCAGGTCACAGTCGGAATAGAGTCAGTGACCCAAATCGGACATGTCTTGAACGGAAAGCTGCCTCTTCGCCAGGCTGGAAATCACTGACGAAGCACCGCTCAGTGATCAGGCCGATCACTGATGTAGTTGCCTGCTGGGTCTTTATCCAGTTTCCATAGCAAGTCTGGCCGAGCGAGTCTTTTCGGCAGCCAGCTCTCGTGTGGCCAAGTCTCTGAATGCTTGGCAGTTCCGGGGAATTCCGTGGTAGATGTTCATGGATGAGACAAGCGATAGTGCTACCCTTGGTCTCAAACCGTTCGAGTTTCAGGACTACAACAGCAGTGCTGGTGGACTCTACCTATTCGCTGGTCGCCTCAGCATATCCTCGCACGTGGATTCCATCGAAGGTTACCTCTGCTTTCAGTCGCGAGTTCCTTCAGGCCGGAAGCCGCAGCATGGTCTGCTCTGGTGAGCAGACGGAGACCGTGGAGAGCCGTGGCTGCAAGGAGTCCAGACTTGGCATGTTGCTGGGCCTGGAGCGATTTCCCATTGCACTCCGGCACCCTCGCCGAATGAGGTGTGACACACCCAGCTGCGATGTTCGTGACCCAGAATTTTCCATGTGAAAGTGGGCATCGAAGAGACCATTCTCAGCACTTTAGAGACTTGCGATCTGAGGAAGACTGCTATCCCAAAAACTGCAGATTCGGCGTTTGGGGCGAGTGGTCCGAGCCGTGCCATGGCGGAAGGAGAAAAGGAGAAGAATTGGCCAGTGCGTGCGTCGATGCTCTCTTCGCAAGGTCATGCACCCAGCTGTGCTGCAGCCCCAGTGAGCGGGCAGCAGAAGAAGCTCTGACAACCCGTCACGTGGAGGTAACCGTCACCGCGTCATTGCTCGACGCAGCAGTTGCGGCGGAAAGCCATGCAGCGTTCTCGGACTGTTTGCGCTGCAGCATTGGTGTCGTGCCACGTGCAATTGAGTGCCTACGCTAGCCTGTCACAAGTTGCACCTTCGATGAAACCCCTGCAGTCCCACAGCAGACAGGCAGAACCGTAGAGCCAGCATCATCCGTGAGGAACAAGGATAGCAGTGGGTAGCGGTGCAGAGGCCGTCATGGCTGAGTTATCACAGGGGTCAAAACCCGCAAAAGAAGCCAAGTAAGTCGAAACTGAAGCCAGAGGCCTGGCAGAGCCTCTAGACAAGTGCCTGGCTTGTCTTGAGAGGCGGTGGTGCTCAGACGGAGACGAAGTTCTGCCCACGAGCTCCTTGTGTTGAGGCAGGTGCTGAATCCAGCTTTCCGATTACGCTGCAGTTGGCTTGAGTTTTGCTGGAAGTGAAAAAATGACGTACTCGTAGACAGCATGTGACGGCGATCTCTGAAGCTCCGACGAATTTACAGTTCTGAATGCATGCGCCTAGAGCCCTGCACGGAGAAGATGCCTGCCAGCCTTGCTCCGCCCCGGGAAGGAAGTTGATTGTACCATCTCGGACTGGGACGACTGGAGTTTCTGCATGAAGGCCGGAATTGTTCGGCCACCTTAGCGCAGCAGCAACTTAAGCCTTACTCGTCCGATGAGAGCAACAGAAGCTGCAGGAAACCGGATATCAGCGGCTGCGGCAGCGGACTATCCTCGCTCAAGTATCCTCCTCGGGGGCTTGAAGTTCCATGAAGTGCCTCACTATCCCAGATCGCCTGTCCCTGCCCGTCCTGTGCACTCAGGCCCAGAATGGAGGTAAAGCTTGTGGCACCAGCTATCCGGCACCTCCGCTGTCCTTGGAGGACACTTTGCTGCAGATGCGACTCCGCTTCCATACAAATCTGCTGCAGGAGATTGAGCCTTGTGAAGACTATCTGGCTTTGTCTGCAAGGAATGACTGCAAGTGAGGCTCTAAGCATGCAGTCTTCGCGGCCCAGGGTTTACACTTTGAAGGAGTGTAGTTCTCGCGGTTGGGCTGCTCTCATGTGAACCTCGAGGTTTAGCACCTGGCGCGAGTGGACGGAGCAATGCTCTTACATGGCTTTCGCATCACCGCAACTCTAAGTCACTGCATGTCCTAAGTACGGCAGCTTGAGAGCTTGCTCAGACCCCTGAAAGGGTGCTCAGTGTGCTGAAGAATTGAAGAGCGTTGCTTCGAGCTCGTGCAAAGCGCCTCTTTCACAAACGGACGAACGTCGATTGAGGTGCACCGCGATCTGCAATGGTGGGCTGAAGCACAGGCAAACACAGCAGCACGCAATGGTGCACTGATGCATTGCATACGTGTATTATCGTGTATCGCACGTACTAAGAAGCCAGGAGCCGTGGGATCCAAGTTCCACCTGCAGGAGGTGGCACACCTTGTGAGGCCTCACAAGTCCCGCGCGTCAGCATTTTTTGCATCTTGAGTAGGCAGGTTAGGCTGTTAGGAGGGTCAGTGCTGGCTCGCTGTCCTCCTATTTTCGTCAATGCTTTGCAGAGACTAGACTAGAACCGAGCCTAAGTTTCCACTAGTGCTGAAGGACGGGCATATGCTAGAAGTTGCAAAGCATGTTAACTAACGTCCCAAGCATTAAATTCCGTCGCCGTCACAAAGCTGCGCGCGAAGGGCAGCCTCGAGGAGCTGATCCCCTGCAATCGGGAGCCCTGCCGGGTCCTTGGACCGTTGACCTGAATAGGTCTCCAGGAAGCGTTATGCCGGTAGAGCTCGCGATTTTCTTTGGAGGCTTGTATGCCATAGCGGCCATAAGATCTTCTGCTGCCATCGGGTTCTTGTGGTGATTGGCCATGTACTTTGGACTTGAACATGAAGTGCCTGGCTCTATACATGTATAGAAATATGTATATACATTACATACATACA